CAGGCAAAATGAAGAATAGGTCTATACACCCTTCAGTAGGCTGGTGTTTAAGTCAGATCCAGTAACATAAATTTCTCTCAAATATTGGATTTACATCAAATTATATATTTTTGGGTTATATATTTAGTTTAGCAACATTATTACAATAATAAGAGCTATAAAAAGTACTTATGTTAGAAATGATTTAATAATTTTAATATTTTGAAGCTGTAGGTCACTGAACTGTAGCGACAAAAACGAATGAATCACGCATTGTGCTGTGTGTACACTGATTAGACCCGTCCACTTGCGCTGGAGTCGTTGTGCCAATAACATAAATCATAAATAATTTCTCAAATAGCAGATGTCTATCATATTACAGTATGTTTTTGGTTTTATTTAGTTTAATTAGGATAATAAAGAGCTGGCTAGGACACTGGTTTTAGAAAGGATTTATTAATCTGAAACTTTGTCGTGGGTCACTGAATTATGATGACACAAATGAAAGTGAGTGAAACCTCACTGAAGGTGAGGTTTACAGTACATTATTCCCTTATGTGTCCATCCTCACTCATCTTGTTTCATCACATAATGTAATGTATATAAGAAGATTTCAACACATTAGCTAACTATTCATGCTTCAGCCTTTAAATTAATCTAGAAAGATATATGTGCCACAAATCAGTGAATGAAAATCATGGAAACACAGTCATTCATGTGAGTGTACCACTCTGGCTGGTGTTTGGTTAGTATGCTTCACTTGTTGTGTGGTCCACTTGTGTGATCCAACTTGTCATATGAAGGAATTATTAATTGTAACCTGTGATAGAATGGTAAAATTTTCCACCTGTCTGTGAACTCTGTTCCAACATCGGATGCTTGTGGACCACTTGTGTGGTTCACTTGTGGACCACTTGTGGACCACTTGTGGAGCACTTGTGTGGTTCACTTGTGGACCACTTGTGTGGTTCACTTGTGGACCACTTGTGTGGTTCACTTGTAGACCACTTGTGTGGTTCACTTGTAGACCACTTGTGTAGTTCACTTGTCCACTTGAGTGATCCAACGTGTCATATGAAAGAATTATTAATTGTAACCTGTGGTAGAATGGAAAGTTTTCTGCCAGTTTGTGAACTCTGTCCCAACATCATTATCAAATCCTCACATCCCCCGCTTCAGCGAACCAAAGTACAACAAACTGGGTGAGTAAATCCAGCCTGTAAAGTGTGCGACCTTGCAGGAGATTCACCGAATCGGGGTACATCAAATCGAGGTTGTACTGTAGGGGGTATTCGTAAGTTGAGGTTCCACTGTATACTGTAGAAGCTAGATAATCCCGAGCCTGCCGATCCCGAAAACGCCCTAATCCAGCAAAAATCGTGGCCAGATAAAGTTATATCCCTATCTAGACAGAATGTCCATAGAAGCCGGACTACTGAATATTTGGCTGGATCAGCATTTACTGATAGAGAGTTTTAAGCCTAAAAATCTCTCCAAAACCAAGAGTCGACTTGCCCCTGAATATAAAATGTGATTTACCGCTGAGAGATATACAAGTGAAATGCCTGCCCTAACACTCGCTGTACACCACCACCAGGAAGGGAGAGAGTGGGAGGAGTCACTCAGGAAGGAAGGGAATCTGCCTGCCATCCACCCATCCAAAACCAAAAGGAAGGAGACGTGTGATCTGTCTCTGTCCAGTGTTTTCTTGCCCACCCACCCACCTGCCTGCCTGCCCCCACCTATCCCTGCCTGCCCACTCACCTGCCACCCATCAAGCCCATCTGCCTTCCATCCACCCATTCAAAACATGCCTGCCCAAACCCCACCCATCCCTACCTGCCCGAACCCCACCCATCCCCACCTGCCCGAACCCCACCCATCCCCACCTGCCCGAACCCCACCCATCCCCACCTGCCCGAACCCCACCCATCCCCACCTGCCCGAACCCCACCTATCCCCGCCTGCCCGAACCCCACCTATCCCTGCCTGCCCGAACCCCACCTATCCCTGCCTGCCCGAACCCCCACCCATTCCTGCCTGCCCAAACCCCACCCATTCCTGCCTGCCCAAACCCCACCCATTCCTGCCTGCCCAAACCCCACCCATTCCTGCCTGCCCAAACCCCACCCATTCCTGCCTGCCCAAACCCCACCCATTCCTGCCTGCCCAAACCCCACCCATTCCTGCCTGCCCACAAACCCCACCCATTCCTGCCTGCCCACAAACCCCACCCATTCCTGCCTGCCCACAAACCCCACCCATTCCTGCCTGCCCAAACCCCACCCATTCCTGCCTGCCCGAACCCCACCCATTCCTGCCTGCCCGAACCCCACCCATTCCTGCCTGCCCGAACCCCACCCATTCCTGCCTGCCCGAACCCCACCCATTCCTGCCTGCCCGAACCCCACCCATTCCTGCCTGCCCGAACCCCACCCATTCCTGCCTGCCCGAACCCCACCCATTCCTGCCTGCCCGAACCCCACCCATTCCTGCCTGCCCGAACCCCACCCATTCCTGCCTGCCCGAACCCCACCCATTCCTGCCTGCCCGAACCCCACCCATTCCTGCCTGCCCGAACCCCACCCATTCCTGCCTGCCCGAACCCCACCCATTCCTGCCTGCCCGAACCCCACCCATTCCTGCCTGCCCGAACCCCACCCATTCCTGCCTGCCCGAACCCCACCCATTCCTGCCTGCCCGAACCCCACCCATTCCTGCCTGCCCGAACCCCACCCATTCCTGCCTGCCCGAACCCCACCCATTCCTGCCTGCCCGAACCCCACCCATTCCTGCCTGCCCGAACCCCACCCATTCCTGCCTGCCCGAACTCCACCCATTCCTGCCTGCCCGAACTCCACCAAGCCCATCTGCCTGCCCACCCACTTTTTCCTGCCTGAACCTGCCTGAACCCACCCACCCATCCGCCTGCCTGCCTGAACCCACCCACCCACCCATCCGCCTGCCTGCCTGAACCCACCCACCCATCCACCTGCCTGCCTGAACCCACCCACCCATCCGCCTGCCTGCCTGAACCCACCCACCCATCCGCCTGCCTGCCTGAACCCACCCACCCATCCGCCTGCCTGCCTGAACCCACCCACCCATCCGCCTGCCTGCCTGAACCCACCCATCCGCCTGCCTGCCTGAACCCACCCATCTGCCTGCCTGCCTGAACCCACCCACCCATCCACCTGCCTGCCTGAACCCACCCACCCATCCGCCTGCCTGCCTGAACCCACCCACCATCCGCCTGCCTGCCTGAACCCACCCACCCATCCGCCTGCCTGCCTGAACCCACCCATCCGCCTGCCTGCCTGAACCCACCCATCTGCCTGCCTGCCTGAACCCACCCATCCGCCTGCCTGCCTGAACCCACCCACCCATCCGCCTGCCTGCCAACCAACCCACCCACCCATCCGCCTGCCTGCCTGAACCCACCCACCCATCCGCCTGCCTGCCTGAACCCACCCATCCGCCTGCCTGCTTGAACCCACCCACCCATCCGCCTGCCTGCCTGAACCCACCCACCCATCCGCCTGCCTGAACCCACCCACCCACCCATCCGCCTGCCTGCCTGAACCCACCCACCCACCCATCCGCCTGCCTGCCTGAACCCACCCACCCACCCATCCGCCTGCCTGCCTGAACCCACCCACCCACCCATCCGCCTGCCTGCCTGAACCCACCCACCCACCCATCCGCCTGCCTGCCGGAACCCACCCACCCACCCATCCGCCTGCCTGCCGGAACCCACCCACCCACCCATCCGCCTGCCTGCCGGAACCCACCCCTGCCCATCCGCCTGCCTGCCTGAACCCACCCATCCACCCATCCGCCTGCCTGCCTGCCTGCCTGAACCCACCCACCCACCCATCCGCCTGCCTGCCTGCCTGAACCCACCCACCCACCCATCCGCCTGCCTGCCTGCCTGAACCCACCCACCCACCCATCCGCCTGCCTGCCTGCCTGCCTGAACCCACCCACCCACCCATCCGCCTGCCTGCCTGCCTGCCTGCCTGCCTGCCTGAACCCACCCACCCACCCATCCGCCTGCCTGCCTGCCTGAACCCACCCACCCACCCATCCGCCTGCCTGCCTGAACCCACCCATCCACCCATCCGCCTGCCTGCCTGCCTGCCTGCCTGCCTGAACCCACCCACCCACCCATCCGCCTGCCTGCCTGCCTGCCTGAACCCACCCACCCACCCATCCGCCTGCCTGCCTGCCTGCCTGAACCCACCCACCCATCCGCCTGCCTGCCTGCCTGCCTGAACCCACCCACCCACACACCTGCCTGCCCACAAATCCAATTGCCCTGCCCACTTGCCAGCCAAGCAGATAACCATCCACCCAGCCCCACACACTAATTAGTGTGTGGAAATTCAAATTGTTGTTTGTGGAACAAACATTTTTGTAAATGTTCACTTTTGGACTTCCATGGTGAAAAGTCAGTTAATCCAGAAAACGTGCTCATCCGGCTGGGGGTCCTTCCTATATACACCGGATTAGCGAGCTAATACAGCATTCCTCTATTCCTCTGTGAAATGCAGCATCTAACAGTTGATGGCTTTACCCTAGAGGAGAAAATTTTCCTCACTTCTGTTATTTTCACTGAACTGGATCATATGACATAATTTAGTCTATCTATACTAATATACTAACACAAGCAGAAGATATACACACCATTAAAAAGTTACCTGAATTTGAATAAAGCATTATTGATTCAGTACTGTATGTGGAACTAGAAAAAAGATATAATGAGCATTAGATTTAATAGCAATTGTGTATCATTTAAAGTTTTTAAGATGCAAAAAAGTGATATTATATATTCTGCTCTTTGAGTTAGCATTGTGGGGTAGAACCAGTGTTAGCTGTGTTTCAAAGTTCTCTGAATTATGTCCTTTATTTTCTCAGTATAACATCACTTTTTTGCCAATCTTTAAGAATTTTTAATTAACTAATAATTTCAGAGAGCTTAAGAAACACTTGCTAACATGTATATTTTATCTATCCTACAGATACCAAGAAATTTCTTTCTGGCCTGCTGTATTTAGAGCAAAATGGCAGTGAAGGTGCATAGTGTTATATCAGCATGGAAGTCCTTTGAATTGGCTAATGTGCAGAGAGAACTTGATGAAACTGCTTCAGAGCTTGCAACTCGTCAAGATGAATCTGAAGAATCTCGTAAGAAATTGGTTGATTTGTCAAGAGAATTTAAGAAAAATACTCCAGAAGATGTTCGTAAACAAGTGGCTCCTTTACTAAAAAGTTTTCAAACTGAAATAGATAATCTGAACAAGAGGAGTAAATTTGTAGAAACAGCATTTTTAAATGTATATAAAAAAGTGATTGACATTGCAGACCCACTTTCTACCCTAGAATACTGTGCTGGTCTTGAAAAGAAAATAGGACGTTTGGCAGATTTGGAAATTGAAAATAAGAACCTCAGAGAAACTTTACGAGAATACAATGAAGAATTCAAAGACGTTAGGAACCAAGATGTAACCATAAAGGCCTTAAAAGAGAAAATTAAGAATTATGAAGACTTAATGGATGATACTGTGCAAAAGAAAACAAAGGAATTAGAAAGGGAATTGTCTCGTCAGTATGCAGAGAAAGAGAGGTTGCTTCATGAAACACAGGAATCTGTAATGAGAAGGTTACAGGAAGCAGAAACAAGAGCTCAGTCATTGCAGTCTACCTTAGATCAAACACAGTCAGAATTATTTGAATTAAAAAGTAAATCCGAAGAATCAAATTTTGCAAAGTCAGATGAAACTGACATTTTGATGAATGACCTTGAACGTGCTAATCAGAGAGCTATCACAGCTGAGAGAGAGTCAGCACGGCTAATGGAGCAAGTTAGGGTATTGCTCCTTGCTCACAACTCACAAATGGATAATATGTCTAGCTCTGTGTCATCTGCAAATGAAATTGAGTCAACATCTGACAGTTTGGCCAGATCTTCTTTAGAAATTGAACTTGCCTCAAAGGACAAAGAAATCTCCCAACTTGTAGAAGACATTAAACAACTGCAGCTTTCCTTGGACAACTTAAGAGAAATATCTTCCAATCAAATTCATGATCTTGAAATGAAAGTGGAGCAGGACATAGAAACCATTGCAAGGGTAGAAGCCAAAATAGCTAAACAAAAAGATTATGATGAGATCAAGAGAGAGCTAAGTATCATGAAATCTGTTGAGTTTGGTGTATCATCATCTAATATTAGAGAAGATAATAGCCAAGAGTCAATAACACCCTCAAAGCCATTAGAAATCCTCCTCCTGGAAAAAACAAAATCTTTGCAAAATGAGAACACGGCTCTAAAGCAAGCAAATACTAACCTAACAGCAAAAGTTTTAGAAGATGAACAAGAACTTTCAAATCTACGCTCACTTGTAACAGAGCAGAAAGGACTAATTGTTCATTTAGAGTCAGATTTATCTTCAGTGCAGTCACTCTCAACACTTTACCGTGGAGAAGGTGAAGGCTCTTCTATGCCAGAGATTGTGGCTGAGGCTGTGAGAGCATCCACTAGCAGTACTCCTCCTCTAATATTCAATTCTTCAAATACAAATCCACCAACTCCTACATTAGGGGGTATTCCACCAGACTTCACATCTGCTGCTGAATCCCTCTTGCCCATTATATCTGCCCAGAGAGAGCGTTTTCGCCAGCGCAATGAAGAATTGGAAGTGGAACTCATGGGCAAGGCACAGCAAGTAGTAGTCCTTCAAAATGAACTGGATACTGTAAGAGCAGATAATCTCAAATTATATGAAAAAATAAGATTTCTTCAATCCTACCAGGGCAGGCAAGTAAAGGAAGACACTGCAGCAGAGTCTCGCTATAGTAGCCAATATGAGGAAGCCTTGGATCCTTTCTCTTCATTTTCTCGCAAAGAAAAGCAGCGCCGCTATGCAGCTCTTAGTCCATTTGAAAAAATTACACTTTCTATGGGGCGTTTCATATTGAGCAATAAAACGGCACGAACAGTAACTTTTATGTACACTGCATTAGTACATTGTCTAATTTTTCTAGTTTTATACAAACTAGCCCATACTGAATCTTGTAAGAGAGACTTTGCTTCTGAGTGTGCACAAAAGTTTGAAGAACACATGCACCAAGTTCATGGTGACACTAGTTTTCATCATTTACAACAGTAACAGTGGTTTTTAAAGGAAGCACCTATGAGATTGTATTATTTAAAGTGCAAGTGGCAGTACAGTATATATAAATAATAACATATATATATATATATATATATATATATATATATATATATATATATATATATAAAATACATAATACAGTACAGTACAGCATAAATTGTATTTATACATATATTCTTCCCCAGCTTTGTTGGGAGCATAACTTTTGTAACAAAAGAGAGAGGTGTGTTAAATAATGTACAGTATATGAATAGGACCCATACTGAGCAATATTGAATTTAAGCAGCTATGTTCATGTTGGCGTCACTTGACTTATAATATTAAAAATAAATATGGTCTATTAATGGCATGGTTAACAGTTTAACCCTTAGACAGTGGTTAAGGGTTAATTGTCAATTGTTGATTCACAGGGTAATGTGGTTATCATAGGAAGATTTAACAAATTATTGTCTGGGTTTTACATGTATGATGCAAATAAGGATATAATAGGTCTACGTTGATATAATGGAGTTTACTTTGAACCATGAAAAAATCCTACCATTTCATGGTACAAATTCAGTTATCGTCATCAATGTTGCTAGGGGAATGCGGTCATCATCATATGATGATTTAAACAATTATTATCTGGGTTTTACATGTATGATGCAAATATGGATATGAACGCTCTCCGTGGATGTAGATATAGAGAAACGGGTGATAAAACAATCGGAGAAACATCGGAGGATAAAACAGGAGGCGTCAGCATAGGTGAGCATCAGGCATTGACAAGTGCGAGAGCGTTGCCTTGCAGAGTGCCTCCACCCAATGGAACTATAATTATTCACTTATTTTTGTGTTTTTCTTACATTCTGCATACAATAATGAATGAATGAATTTTTCTCTAATGAAAAATTATTTGTTGGAATTGTTTTATTTTTGTGTGCATAGGTTGGTATGACTAATTCTCCATAGCTGCTGTCTAAGGGTTAAGTGTACTTTTGGCTTTGGTTATTATGCTTTAAGGTTGTTTATCCAGCTCACAAGAGGTGCTTGTGTAACCACATGCAATATATTTTATACAGTACTTGATATTTGTGAATATTTACTTACGTGTATACCAACTAGTACAACTACAGTATAGTACATACATTAAAATTAAATGAAGGTGATTTTTTTCTACAGTATTTGGTATAGTGTGTGGGTGGGTGTAATGCAAGGTTATGAAATATTCCCTCACCTTATTTATATGGGCTTATTGGACTGTAAGTTCATGTGTGGTTTGTTGTCTCCCTTAGCCAAGAGTAAGGTTCTGTGCTTCCACCCTTTGTTAGTTGCCAGACTAGACTGACCTCAACTTGTGTATATTATCCACTTTGCTACTCCAGTAGAGCAGCAAAAGAGGTGACAGGAAGTGTGTGTGTATCATGTCATCCATGATTCAAGTTGGGTTCAATGGCATGATCCAGTGCTGTTGTATCTTTTTTACCAGTTCAGCATTAGAGCAAAATGTGAAACAAGTTAAAAATGTGGCAAATTGGATTAACTTTGTACAAATTAGGAAAATTAAAGTTGACATAATTTACTCTCTTACAGCATTAACACAAGTATGGGAGGGTTAAACTGAATTAGGTAGTACAGTACTGTAAATTATTGAAAGAAATTTGTTTAAATATTTATTTTAGGTAAAGTTTAAATAGTATAAGTAGAAGATTCAGATTCATTTATTATGCACCCTATACTCATCCCGTGGGCGGTGGTGAAAAAAAGGGTTACAGAGGCACATAATGGGTTCAGGAATTGAACCCCATAGTTTGTTTAGCTAAGCAAGTGACACTTGTGAAGCTAATTACACAATTGTTAATATATATATACATGTACACAAATACATATAAATATAAATAATGTTTTTGTCACAAGTGATTCAACAAGAGGAGCACAACAGTCACTATACAAGGCACTTTACATCTATGGTGAGCTACGCAATTACTAGTCTTGCTCCACACCCACCCAGCTGGGCGGCAGCTTTACAGTCATGTGCAGGCTGCACCGAGAGAAAGCAAATTTTTGGATACTTTGCTAAGATTCCTGGCAATACATCATTATGAGTGAAGTACTTACACGTTTTTTAACACAATTGAGTGTAGGGAGAAGGTATGAAGTTCAGTGCTAGGAAAAAATGTGATTAGTTCTTAGGAAGAGTTTTGATAGGTACAGAAGTGTAAAGAAAGGACTACATAGCAGTACTGTATGTTTATGACCCTGGCCTATGAAAATTAAACTAGCAAGGAATGAGAAGGAAGTCTGTAATACAGGTCATTGAAATTTTTTGGTACAGTATTGTATTTTAAGACCACAATCAAGCAATTTATTCATTTTAGACTAAAGGAGAAAAATACAAAATAAGGAAATGTTTTGAATATGTAAGGTAAATGGAAGGGTGAAGGCTTGGAGAAAGTGAGGAAAAATAGAGAATGTATTTTAAGAGGAATTGGGCTTGTGGAGAAGACTGTAGTATGATTATAAGCATATTCAGAAGGACAATTCAAGGCTTCACAATTGGTAAGTTAAATACATCCAGGAAAGTGAGAATTAAGTTAAGATCTGTCAAGAACATGTGGTGAATACAGTAACCACTAATTGCCTAATGGGCTTCCTTGAGGCTTTCCTCTCACTCCTTCAATGAGAATCTGTATCGAGGTAAAACACAAATGTACATGTGAAAGGAACAAACAAAAACAGGACAAGAGTCCAAGGGATGGCCAATATTTAGCTAAAATTGCAGTGCTAGCAGAATAGCAAGGCACCAGGAGGAAAATGCACCAGGTGCATGTTTAGTTGGGACCCCTTGGGTAGCTGGGGTTTCCATCCGCTAGAGAGGGAGTGGTCCTGAATAACAGACCTGAACAATGAGTCCATACATAGTTTTGCCTGAGGGCCACTAACACTAATGGCCTCAATGAGGACAGGAAGCTGGCTGCTTATTAAAGGTCCCCCACCAATTTGGCCTGATGATCTTTACCAGTTGGATTTAAAAATTTAACAGTTTTGGCATTTACGGCTTTGGCGGGTAGGTAGTTCCATGAGTTTTTAACCCTGTATGTGAAAAAGTATGTTCTCAGTCCTACATTGTGGCTTGAGTTTGAAACAATTGTCCCTTGTTTGTCACATCTGACCTTTTGAAGAAATTGTTTGGATCAACATCCTCCAAATTGTTCAGTATTTTTAAAGTTTCAATGAGATCTGCCCTGTGTTCCCTACTTTGCAGTGTTGTGAGCCATACGACCCTCAGTTTTTTAATAAGGTGTGCAAATATTGTCCAATCAGGTGATTATATCTCTCACACTCACACGGGAGTGGAGCATCACACCGAGGAGTCACACTGCTGCAGGCTCCAGGAGAATTCAAATTATCTAAGTGTAGAGAGTAGGGTGAGGGCTGCAAGTGGTGTCCCAGAATACATGAAGGTGTAAAGAATTTGAAATGAAACTAAGAGACAAGAAATAGGTGTTAGTGAATGAAAAATCTGTGGTAGAAAAGTTGATCTTTCAAAACAGCAGAATGTCAACAAAGATATCTGCCACCACTGGGGAGGACAGTACCCCATCAAAGGAATATTTTGCAGGTTTCTCTCAAGATGCCATGAAGGGTAGTTTTCTTAACAGGTTAGTGATTATTGAGGACATACTAAAGAAATATGAAGAAAAGGTAATTAAATTAAAAAAAGAAAATGAAGGTCTCAAGATTGAGTTTTGTAATTTAAAAGGAAGTATTTTCCAGCAAGGTAAGGAAATTAACAGCTTGATGGATAAGGAAAGGATGCAGGAGGCACACATCAAGGAACTGGTAAAGGATAATAAGGCATGGAAAGTGAAGAGTAGGGACTTTGAAGAAATAAACAAGAAAATAGACTCGTATGGTGAACAACTCGAAGGGAGCCTGAGGGCTAACATGGAGTTAGGGAAGGAGATGCAATGAGAAACATCATTGGCAACTCAAATAGAGGAGGCTAATAAAGAACTAGAAAAGTATAAAGAAGAAATAAAAGAGACATATGCCCAAGTTGTATAAGAGAAAGAGACGACAAGCTCAAAGCCCCAGATATTGTCGCATAAACAGAGACGAAACTTGAAGAAAATATTTTAAATGAAGTCGTGTTCCCAAGGGCCTACTCAGTTTGGAGATGACATGAAAAATAGGAAGGGGGGAGGAGCTGTGACAGGAAAACTAGGAAGGGGGGAGGAGCTGTGCTGGTGAAAGAACACCTGAATTTTTTTTTTTTTTTTTTTTTTTTTTTTTTTTTTTGAGATATATACAAGAGTTGTTACATTCTTCTACAGCCACTAGTACGCATAGCGTTTCGGGCAGGTCCCTGGAATACGATCCCCGCCGCGAAGAATCGTTGTTACAACCAAGTGCACATTTTACTGTTGCATTTTAACAGAGGCTACAGTTAAGGATTTGCGCCCAGTAAATCCTCCCCGGCCAGGATACGAACCCATGACAAAGCGCTCGCGAAACCCCAGGCGAGTGTCTTACCACTACACCATGGAGACTGTGAAGATAAGAGAGTTAATATTTGGAAACCCTCAAGATATTGACATAATGGCATTTTACAGGTCTGGAATCAAGATGATAAGCTGATAATTTTATATGCCCACAGCCCACCAGCAAGCAACACATGGACAAAGGAAGAACTGCATGACAAATGAGAGGGCCTCATAATGGTCATGAGAGAGATTATGATAAGAGCTGACAAAGATAAATCCCGATTGTTGATACTGGGGGACGTCAACTTTAAGGCAATAGACTGGGAGGCCTACGAGGCAAGAAAAGAGGACATTTGGACAAGCAGATTTGTAAACCTCATCTTGGAGACATTCATGCATCAACATGTCAAGCAGGCTACAAGAATGAGGGAGGGGATTTTCCGTCAGTACTGGATCTAATATTCATCAGGAAAGAAGAGGAGGTATTTGACATCCAGTACCTTCCTCCCTTGGGAAAGAGTGATCACGTCCTCTTGGACATTAAATACGCTTTGCGATGTAATTTAGTAGAGAGTGGGGACATTGAAACAGTTGTTAAACTCGATTTCAAGAGAGGACGCTATGGGGAACTTAGAAATTTTTTTCATGGGTATAATTAGACAGACTTGTTGCTAGGTAATAAATGAGATGTATGCCATATTTTGCAAATTATACAATGAAGGCACACAAACATTTATACCAAAACAGAGATGCAGACCTAGAAAACAGGAATGGTTCAACAGAAATTGCAAGAGGGCCAGAGATCAAAAGATACAGGCATGGAATCATTATAGGCTGAGTCCAAACCCCCAAACATACCAGCGATTCAAAGATGCAAGAAACAACTACTCGTCACTGAGGAGAGAGGCAGAGAGGAACTTTGAGAATGATATAGCAGACAAATATAAATCAGATCCAGGCCTTTTCTATAAATTCATTAAAAGCAAGCTGCAGGTAAAGGATAATATTCAGAGGTTGAAAATGGGGGACCGATACACGGAAAATGAAAAGGAAATATGTGAAACATTAAACGAAAAGTTCCAAAGTGTGTTTGTACAAAATGAGATCTTCAGGAAATAGACACAATAAGAATTCCAGAGAACAACATAGAGCACATTGAGGTGTCTAGAGATGAAGTGAAACAAATGCTCTTGGAGCTAAGTAAGAACAAAGCAGTTGGCCCAGATGGAGTTTCACCATGGGTTCTGAGAGAATGTGCAGTTGAGCTCAGCATACCACTTCAGCTGATTTTTCAGACATCCCTGTGTATATGAGTCATAGCAGATGTGTGGAAACAGGCTAACATAGTTCTAATCTACAAAAGTGGCAGCAGGGAAGACCCCCCTCAACTATAGACCTGTATCGTTGACAAGTGTAATAGCCAAAATATTGGAAAACTAATAAAAACTAAAAGGGTAGAACACCTAGAGAGAAATAATATAATATCAGACAAACAGTATGGTTTTCGATCTGGAAGATCCTGTGTATCTCGAATTTACTAATTTTCTATGATAGAGCCACAGAGATTTTACAGGAAAGAAATGGTTGGGTTGACTGCATCTATCTGGACTTAAAAAAGGCTTTCGACAGAGTTCCACATACGAGGTTGTTCTGAAAACTGGAAAATATTAGAG